AGAGAGAGAGAGAGAGAGAGAGAGAGAGAGAGAGAGAGAGAGAGAGAGAGAGAGTATTATTAAATGGTATGTAATAGAGATGATGCAATAAAAACAACCTACATACTCATGCGCAGGGTCAGCCAAAGAAGCGTCTAGAAATCTTACTTCTATGACGTCAGAATACAGACCACACTTTCAGCCACGCCTGAGCAAAGGCCTATTCTCATTGGAGTGGAACCTTTTTTGGCATTTAAATGAGGTGTTGCAGGCCTTATCAAATACATTATGATGAGTTGAACCCCCTTGTAAAATTTGACCTCTTGGTGTCAGCTGATATTACGTTGAATTACAGAGCGGACGGCTCTTGTTCGAATCCCCAGTTTAGTGTTCTTGTAATCGTGTCGTTTTGTTGAGTTTTTTAAGGCCCATTTGGCGAGGTAATGTCGGAGTTGGACGTCGTATTCGAAGGCCCCCGCCTCTTAAATAATCTGTTCGAACAGAGTTGAAAGGGGTGTTAAACCCATACAATTGCACTTGCTGCTGTGTGTGTGTGTTTTGGGCTCGTTTTTTTTTTGTTTGCAGTATAAAATATTACACCTCGCAATGTGAGCAAGACTGGCTTTGATGATAGCCACACACATGATAACCACGTCCCATCATCAAGTACTTTGTCATCGATTATGAAGACTCGCTACATAGCGACTATAATAGAGTTTTAGTCTTTGCACCCAAGCCTTGATGACGTTTTCCGACCACTCCTGCACTCAAATCCCAAACACGCCGCTCTATTGTTTATGTTGTTTTTTTCCAGAGGAAAAGTTGGGTGGGTGGGCGGGTGGGTGAGCTGAGGAACGGGGGGGTGGCAGGGGAGGAGAAGGGGGTGGTTGTACTGCAGGGGCCAGCATGCGTACCAAATGGTATTAAGAGCGTGCAGTGCTAATCCGGGATCTCATTACATAAAGCTTAACTTTGCGGTCGTGGTGAGAGAGAGAGAGAGACAAGTGTCAGTTTTGGTCGAGCTGAAAGCCCTGGCGCCCCGGGACGCCAAGACGGCCGGCCGGCCAGCATCGGAGAGGAAAATAATGTCCCGATTGTTCCCAACGATTGCCTTTTTGGCGGTGTCAGCTTCACAACCCGGACATAGAGCTCGTGATGACAATGCATGGACCACAGCTCGAAATGTTTGCTCAGAAATACTTGAGAGTAAATATTTTATCCTGCAAGTTTTTTCGTTTGTCTAAGTGAAAGACTCTGCTCATACGTGTTGAGAGAATGCAC